CCTGCTCTTTCAATGGACGCGTTAACCCTTGTAAAATAAATGTGTTAAAGAGCAGCTTATGGTCATATTAAACTTTCAGTGCACAGAGTGATTTCAAGGTGAAATATTTCAATGAGAGCGTGATTGGGTTTGGGTCCGGTGGAGAGCAGAATATGATATGCCACTGCTAAATCTGCAGGTATTTGTAACTCATCCTGAATAGGTGTATGAGATAAAGACTTAGTTCATCCTCCTGCTTTCAAGAAAAATTAAAACTACTTTGTTTACTGATGGTTTTCATTGTAAAACACGTACTCAGCCTGTGCAGCTCCACTAATACATGTAATGGGAGGAAAGTAACCACTTTTTACTGGTACAAAGCTTGTGATGCCTGATGCCAATTGCCAACAGACATCATTTGAAGCAAAATGATTGAAGCATTAAACAGCATCATCTCAGAAAAAAAAAGTTGCTGGAAAAGCACAACAGGTTTGGCAGCATTGTGGAGGAAAAAACAGAGTTAACGTTTCAGGTCTGGTGACTCACTGGACCCGAAACGTTAACTCTGTTTTTTCCTTCACAGATGCTGCCAGATCTGCTGAGCTTTTCCAGCAACTTTGTTTCTGTTCCTGATTTACAGCATTCGCAGTTCTTTCGGTTTTTATTTGGTATCATCTCAGGAGTTTAGTTGAGATCATTAATCTGGGAAAAATTGCAAATGTGATGATGTTGTTTCAGTTGAATTACAGCATTTGAACACTTCAACTGAATTGAAGCCTGAACTGGAAAGAAAATCTGAATAATTCACGCACAGTTTATAAAGCCTCCACCCTTTTGGAAACAAAAGCCAAATATTGTCTAGAAGGAGGAACAAAAAATAAGTAGCATAATCTCAACAGGCCAGGCACTATCTACAGATCGAGAAAGAGGGTTAATGGTTCAGGTTAATGATCTTTGGTCAGGACTGTTCAGTACAAATTGGTTGCTACATTTCCCCACTTTACCAGGTCTGTACCACAAAAATGTCTTATTGGCTGTAAAGTATTATTGGAGATCCTGTTATCATGAAAGACACTACAGAAATGAAAGCCTGAAGTGAGTGAATTCAGCTGAAGTATAGTTTCACTGGACTCCAGTAACTTAACCAAGTGGTCATTCTTCATTCATGAGTAAACAGAATTGTAAAATGGCCAGATAAATTAACCAGCCAGGAAGGGGGAAATGGAATGGGTATGTACCTGTGTGATCCTGATATAACAGCACTGTCTGAGCAGCACCATACAAAAGACAAAAAAATTATAGACAGCAAGTGGGCAAATTTTCAAGGAGTTTACAAAATTAGTCAGACCTTTGTTTTCTGAGAATTCTGTAGCTCTTCCAGCAGAGCTATGGGAGAACTTCTGCTGGAAATTTGCCCTCTTAATATCTGCTATCAGGCAGAAAGCACACATATCTACAAGCTGTGGTAGGCAAGTGGTTAAACAGTTCTGTGTTCATTCACGATAAGGGACATAAAGCTTACATTTTATAACTCCCCCCAAGACTTTGAGAGCGCACCATCGGGTTTCAGAATCAGGCATTTCCAACCATGTCGGAGTAAATCAATTGCTTATCAGCGCTGTGCTGCCTGAAAGAATTCCATTCGGGTTACATTGGCTGCTTCAAAAAAAAGCAAACCACTATTCAGCAAAGGATGCTGCTTTTATCAGAACCCACTGCACATTCCTTTCTAGGGTGTTCAGAACAGTCAGAGTCTGGAAGCCTGAATAATGGATTTTTGTTTTCTGAATCTCTTCCTTTTGAAAAGGGTAAAATTGAAGATAGATGGAGAAGCAGTGGTTTGTGTTTTCAGTCTTTAAGACTAAAGGTTAGAGCTACTTTCCAGTGTGCTAAACAATTAGATGCGTTGCAGCATTCATTACTGTGTTAGTGTCTCATACTCAATGAATCAGTCTCATTATTGAAGTTACTACCTTCACTTTCCAAAACTGAAAATAAAACATTGCTGGAGTAAATAGGATTCAGCACTGAACCAGGCAATATTTGCCCATTCAGACCCCAGAATCACTGAGAAATTTCTAGTCTAGGCAATCTAACCACCATCCGTTAAACTACGCACAGGATCGCAGTGACACTTGGATTAGGCTAAAAAATAGCACTGTAAAAGAAACACACTGAGAAGTTAACCCTGACGTTGTACTTAGAAAGCTTTTGTAACCTATTTCTGCATGCAACACTTGGAGCCAGCTAACTTCCCTGACACGCAACTTATTCCTTAGTAAAGAAGATACAACAGTTCAGTAGGCCAGCAATGACCCATTGCTGCCCTAACAATGTAGCCTTAAGCTTGTAAGGCACCAGGAAGACATGATTTTAAACTCAAACAAAATTGTTTTTGTTTATTCGGGTAGAAGCTCAGTAAGTCACTTGACTGTTGAACTGAATGGAGAAGAGATAATACAAAGAGCCCATTGCTGTTCTGCTGAATGCAAAAGTGACATTAGACGTCATGAAGAGATTCAGCTGGAAGGAGGCAAGGTCACATGAGAATCACTTGGTGAATTTTCTCTTGTATTCTAGCTTATTATAAAGACAGTGGCACCTGTGGTTGGATAGAAGGTTGTTCAGATGTCCCCACAGGATACAGGGGCAGACCTTATGAGACATCACACATGGGTGTTATAATTCTATTGTGCAGGAAATGGAGGAGAAAGTATTGTTTGATCAAATTTGAACTAAGTGACTGCAATTACCCTTATGGGTCCTCTTTTAGCTAACATATAAATTAGGGTCAAGAACTAGAGGACACTGTGTCAAGGTGATTGGGCTATTTAGTCAGTGGCGACACGAGGAAAAGCCTTCTTAGACTCGAATAGTTGGATCTGGAGAGCACCTTTACTGAAGCCTTACCCATCTCCTGGCTTTCAAAAGGGATTTGGTTCAGTACCTGAGGAGAGAAGAGAAATACAGGGGAATGGCACAGAAATGGGACAAGCTGAGTTGTATGGATATAATGGGCCAAATGGTGTTCTTCAGCTATGTAACCATTCGATGCTTCTTTTTGTCTATGACTTGATCAATAAAAAATTAGCAGCCAGCATGGATTAAAACCATTTATTTGATCTGTTATCAAAGGTTTTAATCACACTTAATCACCTTACCCACTGCATGCTGTCTCATACATTTAAAACCATTGATGTTAAATTTTCATATTAGGTATCTATTTTCTTAACTGTTGGAAAGCATTTACTTCCTTATCATGATTACTGCATTGTCAACACCCACACTCTTGTTCTTAAGTATTGCTGTCTAAGGAATGTTGTTACTTTCTGTCTTCCCTCTATCCTGAGCAATCACTTGCACCAAAATAATTGCTGATCATCGGCAATTCTATAAGTTGCTGGAAACAACTCATTATGTACACACCTCTGACATTTTTAGTAGGTGCTTTCATCAGTGAAATATATAATTCTCTAGCATTAAATTTGAGATTTACTCAACCCACTCAATTTTTAGAAACATAATAAATATTTTTTAGATTGAAGCATTCATTCTGGATGATTGATATCCATAGCTCGAGACCTGGCCTCATTTCCTTTCTGTTTAAACAGGCTTCTGTTTATTCGATGGTGTCTGAGTTAATTGGAGAAACTCATCTTAACTGGAGACCAGTTCTGAGGAAGTCACACCGGACTTGAATGTTAACTCTGTTATTCCTCTCTCTACACATGTTGCCAGGTCTGCTGAGTTTCCTGGAGCATTTTCTGTGTTTGTTTTAGATTTCTGCATCTGGCCTTTCATAGAAACAGGCCAACAAGTCCACATAGACTTTCTGAAGACGATTCCACCCAGACCCATCCCCTAACCCTATATTTCCCATTACTAAGGCACCAAACCTACACATCCCTGAACACTATGGACAATCTAGCACGGCCAATCCACCTAGCCTGCACATCTTTGGACTGTGGGAGGAAACCGGACCACCCGGAGGAGACCCACGCAGACACTGGGGGAATGTACAAACACCATACAGACAATCGCCCAAGGGTGGAATTGAGCCCAGCTCCCTGGCACTGTGAGGCAGCAGTGCTAATGACTGAGCCACCGTGCCACTTCCTTTTATCTGAGTTAATTGGCTCCATTTAAGTTGAAAATCATATGTAAAGAGCTTTTATGCAAACCCAGAATATAAATAGCCTTCTTTTTTCAAAAGGTTCATCAAGTATTCCCTGTTTTCCTTTCTCTTGCAATCTCCTCCCTTAGCTAACTTCGAACGTAGCCCTTTGACAAGCTCTTAGTCAGCTGTATTCATTTAAGTTTTTGCTAAGTTTCTGTGAAGGACCGTGAGTCATGCTCATATGCTGTTATGAAAGCCCAGGTTCCAAATTTGATCAAAATGAGAACTGAAAGAACTGTGGATGCTGTAAATCAGAAACAGAAAATAGAAGTTCCTGGAAAAGCTCAGCAGGCCTGGCAGCATCTGTGTAGAGAAATCAGAGTTAACATTTCAGGTCCGGTGACCCTCAGATTTTCTGTTTTCGTTCCAAATTTGATCTATTAGCAATCTACAGCAGATCTCAGGGTTATTTTTGTATGTACATGTACCATCTGCAATTCTCTATATGGGGATGGACATGTTTCTTATGACTTTAGCTAAATTTGAAGCTCATTTTACTTTTTTTTGTTTAAGCACCTTGGCATGCTTCAGTACTTTCAAAATACAACATATATACAAATAGGTTTTCCATCCTTCAGAAAGCACGTTTGTGGAACTGCGTGAATAAGAACAATATATTTTCTGAAATTTGAATACAGATTTATGCTTTTGGTCAATTCTGTCTCGTGTGGAGTTTGTTTTAGAGAGAATTAGCACCAAGTGACTCGAATACTCACTGTGGTCGGGGGATGTGGATGATTAAACTGAACTTAGAATAACATGTCCAAAATTGTAAGGAGTTGGAGGATGGGGTGGGAAAGCAAAGAAGAGCATTAACTTCCATGTTCTTTGCCCTTCTTTCTAGTCTCACCGCCGCGTTACATTTCATCTGCCTGACGGCTCCCAGGAAAGCTGCAGTGATAGTGGTTTAGGAGACCATGAACCAGTAAGTGGTGGCACGCTGATCTCACACCCTCTCCCTCTGGTTCAGCCACAGGACGAGTTCTACGAGCAGGCTTCCCCAGACAAGAGGACCGAGGCCGACGGCAACTCTGACCCAAACTCTAGTAAGTGACGACCTTGTTTCTTACCCAAATGTGACTGTTGTAAACTCGGAATGTAGCCTTGCCTTCTGCCACATTAACTTTCAGTGCGAAAATAACCACCTTTCACAAACTCCCTCTTCCTGTTAAGGGTCACAAGTTTATCACTCCTTCTTGCTTCTGTTTCAGTTTTAGAATGTGGTTCAACAATAATGTGTGGAGCAGCTGCAAGTTTTATTGACTGCAATGCATTCAGCATAGCATAAGGCAGGGGATATTTGCTGTTTTACTGCCAATCCTTAAAGGGGTGAGATACCTCTTTCACTACAAAGAAAATAAATAAGGGAATGCCCACTTTTCTCCCTGCTTAATGACCCACTAATTAAATTCCAGAAGCACACTGCTGCCAATTGTAGCATTCCTGAGAAGGATATTGGCATGGCTCATTAACTCTGGAGAAAAGCAAACATCTTTCTTCTCTTTGTAGGAAAAATTTTACTCCTATATCTCCCCAAGTATTGACATTGATCACTGGGTATTGTGGTCCAGCCTTAGTGTTCCTGCTTTAAACTGTGACACAATATATTAACCAGAAAGTACCAATCAATGCTATATGTTGGGAAGACATAACTTTTGGATATTACTTTCAACTGAGAGGCAATTCTATTTTTATGCTACCACCAAGATATTGTGGATGATCTCCTTGTACTGTAATTTATTTGTTGTGTATTGCCTTCTGCATCTTGAACTGTACTGACACCTGTTGGTTATTCACTCTGTGCTGAGCATGAATGAGCTGATTACAAATCCACTTTTACTGCCACTTTCAAGATATTCATGATACAGGATATATCTTGAGCACTGAATGAACAATTTGGCTGCCTGTTGAGACTTGACTTTCTGCACATGTGAACTATCTAACGCCAGTCCAAATTGCAAAGCTCTCAAAAATGTTGGGTTAAAGGAACCGTGCAAGTTTAAGGGATCGACCAATGTTTTTGTTTGTGAGACGTGTGCATTGCTCAGTTGTCTAGGAGAGTTTGCAACTTAAATGGTGTTTATTCCCTTTAGTCCAGTCTGAAAAGCAACCCTTCACCACCACCCTCTGTCTGCTACCTTCGTGCCAATTCTGTATTCACATGCTAGTTTTCTCTGTATTCCATGTGAGCTAGCCTTCCTAACCAGTCTACATGAGGAACCTTGTCAAATACCTTGCTGAAGTCCATATGGATCACGTCCACTGCTCTGACCTTATCAACCCTCTTCGTTACTTCTTCAAAAAACTCAATTAAGTTAGTGAGACACGATTTACCACACACAAAGCCATGATGACTATCTCTAATCAGTCCCTACCTTCCAAATAAATGTAAATCCTGTCCTCAGGCTTCCCTCCAGCACCTCGCCCAGGGTCCCCGGTCTTTAATTCCCTGGGTTTTCCTTACTACCTTTCTTAAATAGTGGCACCACGTTAGCCAACCTCCAGTCTTCCAGCACTTTACCTGTGGCTATTGATGATACAAATATCTCAGCAAGGGGCGCAGCTATCATTTCCCTAGAGGTGCTGCACTTTGGAAAGGCAAATCAGGGCAGGACTTATGCACTTAATGGTAGGTTCCTGGGGAGTGTTGCTGAACAAAGAGACCTTGGAATGCAGGTTCATAGTTCCTTGAAAGTGGAGTTACAGGTAGATAGGATAATGAAGAAGGCATTTGATATGCTTGCCTTTATTGGCCAGTGCATTGAGTGTAGAAGTTGGAGGAGTGTAGAAGGTCATGTTGCGGCAATACAGGACATTCCTTAGGCCACTATTGGAATACTGCATGCAGTTCTGGTCTCCCTGCTATAGGAAGGATGTTGGAAACTTGAAAGGGTTCAGAAAAGATTTACAAGGATGTTGCCAGGGTTGGAGGGTTTGAGCTATAGGGAGAGGCTGAATAGGCTGGGGCTATTTTCCCTGGAGCATTGGAGGCTGAGGGGTGAAATTATAGAGGTTCATAAAATCTTACGGGGCATAGGTAGAGTAAATAGACAAGGTCTTTTCCCAGGGTGGGGGAGTCCAAAACTACAGGGCATAGGTTTAAGCTGAGAGGGAAAGATTTAAAAGGGACCTTTTTCATGCAGAGGGTGGTGTGTGTGTGTGGAATGAGCTGCCAGAGGAAGTGGTGAAGGTTGGTATAGAGGGACATGGGCCATATGCTGGCAAATGATTCTAGGTTTATTTAGGATGTTTGGTCAGCACGGACGAGTTGGACTGAAGTGTCTGTTTCAACGCTTTACATCTCTATGACTCCTTGATAGCATCATCACTTTAGTCTTCCCTAAGGGCTCAATTATTACTATCATTATGTCAATTCAGAAGACATCCGGTTTGATCATTTATCTGTGCTAAATAAACAGACCACATTTAGAAAAGTGTCTATTTCATACACCACAGCACAATGCAGAGATTAATTTCTGTAGTTTGTAGTGTCAACAGTTTCTGGGTGTACAGGAATTTTATTTACGGAATCTTCCAGTTTAGCTCTTGAACTCCAGTAGCTTTAGTGCATCTATTTACTTATCTGTGGGCCCCCATCAAGGATAAACTAATTAAGAACAGTGAGCATAGATTAGTTTTCAGTCTCACGTTCAAATACAGAACAATTAAGCTGTTGTAAACTGTGGGTTGCAGAGAGGAGATTACTCTTGGTTTCCTTGGGGAAAGTCTGTTTGGGAGGCTTCCTGATCCATTTCAGTGCACATCAGCTGCAGTTGGACGAGCAAGTGTGTGTCCATTGTCATTATTTCCAACAATGCCATTGGTTTGAGAGATGTCTTCAGAACCTGACTGCAATTTTAGCTGCACTCTGTGGGTGGGAAAGCATTCCTAGTGGGTGTACACAGGACAGAGAAAATTCAAGTGGCATAAACATGATCAGAAAAGACTTTGTTTTTAAACTTATTTTCTTTCCATTTAGAGCCCGGATAAGCTTGAATTTGTAAGATAAACATTTCAAAATAGGCCAGCTCAGTGAGACTGGAATTTTTTGTCTGTCTTTTGTATATAACATGTGGCATTATAATAACTCCAAAAATAAATAAACTTTAGAAAGCAATCAATTGTTCATAAGAATTAACCAGGTGAGAGAGAAACTGCACAGCATGGTTGAATAAGTAAGATTGTCCTTGATGTGCCGTTTGTTTTTGTCTCAACCACTGTTACACAATTTTTATCCTGACGTTATTTTCGTATTTTAAGGGAGCCTCTTCTCATTTTCGACAGTAGCCAAATTATAAGTTGAAAGGTGATGGTAAAAATCACTGGGTGGAGACTGGTGAAACCAGGAGAGCATGTGCTCCTGAAAATTCAAGAAGATAAGACTCTCTCAAGAAATTATTTTCAGATATTTGGAGGCCATGAGGATCAAGTGGCTAATGTAAAATTATAGCAATCCCACCATGGATATCTGAAGTGGAAGAGTGGAAAAGTAACTGATGGTAGTTTGGTGCTGGCAGAAATTGCTCATGCAAGCAGAGTGTGGGATATGCATCAAGGGCCTTCTTCAGATTCCTTCAAACTGTCAGAGTACAATCATTGTATATAGTGTGGAAGCAGGCCATTCAGCTCATTGAATCCACACCATCCCTCCAAAGAGTAGCCCATTCTGACCCACCTCATCCCTGTAACCCTGCACTTCCCATGGCTACTCCACCTCGCCTGCACATCCTTGGACACAGTGGGAAATTTAACATAACCAATCCACCTAACCTGCACATCTTTGGACTGTGGGCAAAAACCGGAGTACCTGGAGGAAACCCACAAGGCATGGGGAGAATGTACAAACTCCACACAGACAGTCGCCCGAGGTCCCTTGCGCTGTGAGGTAGCAGTGCTAACAACTGAGCCACTGTGCCTGTCAGATGCAATGTTGCATTAGTTGCTTCCCTTCTTAAAATTCTTGCACTGAATGTGGAATTTGCTGGTGAGACCAGCATTTATTGCTCATCTGTAACTACCTTTGAGAAAGTGGCAGTGAGCTGTCATCTTGAACTGCTGTAGTCCATGTGGGGTAGATGCACACACAGCGTTGTTATGAAGGGAGTTCCAAGTCTTGTGTTACAGCAACAGTGAAGTTGGTGAGATGGTTCAAAGTAAAGATGGTATGTGACGACGGAAATGCGCAAGTGGTGGTATCCCCATGCAACTGCTGCCCTTGTCGTTCAAAGTTGTAGAGGTCATGGGTTTGGAAGGTACTGTTGAAAGAGCCATAGTAAATTGCTGCAGTACATCTTGTAGATAGTACACACTGTGCATTGATGATGGACGAAGTGAATTTTGAATGAGGTGAAGGGAGTGCCAGTCAAATTGACTGCTTTGTTCTGGATGGTTTTGAGCTTTTTGAAAGTTGTCAGAACTGCACTCATCCGGACAAGCGAGGAGTAATCCACTAAACTCCTGACTTGTGTCTTATTGGTTGCGAGCAGGCTTTGGGAAATCAGGATGTGAGTTACTCAGCGCTGAATTCACAGCCTTTGACCTGCTCTTGTTGCCACATTATTTATATAGCTAGTCCAGTGAAGTTTCTGATCAACAGAAGCCCTCAGGATGTTGGTGGTGGGGGAATTCAGCAATTATAGTGCTGTTGAATGTCGTGGGGAGATTTTTAGAATCTGTTTTGTACCTGTTTATTGTTGGACACTGGTGTGGCATAAATATTACTTGCCACTTAACATCCCCAAAGCTGAATGTTGTCCAGGTCTTGCTGCGTATGAACAGTGATATCTTCAGTGTTGTCTGAAGAATCATGGATGATGCTGAACATTATGCAGTCACCAATGGACGTACCTATGCTCTTATTTTGGAGGGAAGGACATTGAAGCTGACATTCACTTGTCACTCCTGGGCTGATGATCATTGCAAATGCTTCAGCATTACCTTTTGTACTAACACCCTAAACCTCCCCATCCCTAATCTTGGGGATATTTGTGGAGCCACCTCATCCAGTGAGTTGTTTAATAGAGAAGACTCCGGAGCTTAGATCTGATCCTTTTACTTGAAGGATTTCTTGCCTTCTTTTATCAGTTCCCGCTTATGCTGTTTGACTGAAGTAGTCCTGTGTTCTTGCTTCAGCAGGTTTTTAGGTAGGTCTAGTGCTAATCCTGCCATGTTCTCTTGCACCCTTCTTTTAGTGAGGGTTTATTTCCTGGTTTTACTGTAATCGCAGAACAGGAGGTCTATGCTGGGCCATAAAGTTACAGACTATGTTTGAATACAACTGTGCTGTTGATGACTCACAGCGTCATGTGTATATCCAGTTCAGAGTTTATAGATCTATTAGAAATCTACACCATTTAGCACAGCGGTATGGCATACAACAGAATGAAAGTTATCCTAAATGTGAAGGCAGAATTTTGTCCCCTCAAAGATTGTAAGATGTTTGTTTCTACCCAATACTAGCATAAGCAAATGCATCTATGACAGATGGATTAGTGAAAATGAGATTAAGTAGTTTTGTCCTTCTTGATACTTTCACTAATAGTTACAGATAATTGTTACAGTCTAGTAGCTATGTCCTTTAGGATTCAAGTAGCTGAGTCAGTTGTCATACTATTGAGTCACTCTTGACAATGTACAGGGAAGTCCCCCATCCAGGGTATATTCTGAGGCCTTGACCCCACCGTTGTGTTCAACATGATTCAACAACTGAGCAGGGTGCTATCAGGGATAATCAGCAGAAGATTTCCATTACTGTGTTTGACCTAATTCTATGAATTTCATGTGGTCCAGAGACACTTTTCAACTGTCTACCAATGTGTCACCATTTCTGGTGGGATGATAATTGTAGTGTCTGGGACATTGCCTGCAAGGTATGATTTGGTGAGTGTGACTTTTCAGGTTGTTGCTGGACAAGTCTTTGAAGTAACTCCCACAATTTTGAAAGAATCCCTAGATTAGTACATTGCAGAATTAACAAGATTTTTGGCATGCCATTCCCATTTCTGGTATGTAGATTGAAGATTCAATCACATTGCTGTGGATCTGAAGATGTATATAGGCAAAACCAGGTAAGGACGCAAGGTTTCCTGTCCTGAAAGACAGTGGTGAACTGTGTGGTTTTTTTTCAGAACATACTGATTTCATGGCCAGCATTAACCACCATTAGTTTGTTGATTCTACTTTTATGACTTGAAATTAACTTCCTTCAGCTGCATTTGTAGAATTTGATTTCATGTCCCTAAAAGATCCAGGGCCTCTGGATTGCTGATCCAGTGACATTACCATGTTCTCTTACTACTGTAAGCAGTAGCGTTATTGTTAATTGTAGGATTATACTGTGTAAGATTCCAACCATTACTGCAGTGATTTTGTGGTTTACAAGTTTGTTCTGTGTCCTGGATGTGTCATACCTCTTTCTGGTGTCTGCCTGCAGAGTCATTGTCTTTTGTTAGGACCATCTGCCTCTTGCATTTTTCCAGACTTCATGCAATTAGAAGGATGGCATCTCCTGACAAAAACAGTTGAAGCTGATGATACCAGAATGGTACCAGGTGTGGTACCAAGGTATGCCCAATTTGTATGGTTTGCCAACTGTGTGGAAGCTTAATTATGAGCCCTGGGACATAATGAGCCTTTCCCACATTTAAAACCAGAGTGCACAGCTGACAATGGCTCTTGTCAAATTCCTTTCACAAAAAGTCATCCATTTTTCCCTGAAACAATAAATTTAACAGGAAGCACACGAGTGCACTTGTACATAAAATCATCATGAGCTGTCAGTGAGAACATTCCAGCATTGTTGGATGAGATTCTGAAAATCAAACAGTCTAGAAGTAGAAACGGATCTGAGATTGCTGTTGGAAAGAGTCATAAAAGTGGAGAATGGGGATGAATGAGGTTAATCCAATATCTCGTGCGGTATTGTAACATTGTTTGGTCTTGCACTGTTGATGATTGATTAAACACTTAAAATTAAACATTACGGGTTTGCCATTGTCAAAAGCAACACTTAAACTGCCTCTTTTAAACCCATTACTATTATTTTTATGGAGGTGTTAACTCATTTAAAATTAATTGTGTAAAGTGTCCATTAAAATAATGAAGAGGGAAACATTTATGCCAGCCATTAAACATGTGATAATATCACCCACAGTAATTTCTTGAATGAAAAGATTCAAGCAGTGTTTGTTGTTTGACCGTGGTGTGAGGTGAAACCCTAAGGTATTGAAACTGTTTTCTGTCTTGCAGTGTACACGTCTTCATCATCTAATAACTTGTCCAGAATCTCTACAGGTACCTGTAATACACTTGTAACATGATTTGTTTTGATATGAGAAATATGAACTGAGGCTGTCTCAGAGGTTTTGAGTTACTTGATAAGCACCAGAAGAAGCCTCTGAGATTTAAAAAAAATCTTCTGAGTGTTGTTTGGGAGCAAGAACATATTTCCAAGTTTGAAAAGATTTTCAAATGTATGTTTATTTTTCATAGTAATGATCCTTCTAATTTACATCATTCTCCTTCCCGGTACCATGCAGTGTTCATTCTGTTCCTCAGCATCTGTGATTCTATGAACCACTTTTGTAATTGTTTAGTGGTATTTCCAGGTGGTCCTTGGGATAAACACTACATTATCCATGCTTCTTTACATTTTTGTCCAGAGAACTTTGTATATCAAAATGTAAATTTGGCTTCCATGGCATTGTTATGTCTTAAGGTGAGGGTGAGGTTGAAAATAGGCATTGGAGTATGCTAATGCATGCTGAGTTGCAAGAATAACATTTTGATTCAGTCAGATGTTAGATTACTGTAATTATTTCTAAGGAGCAACACTTATGGAAATGGGAAGTTTTTCTGATGTGACACCAATTGTCAGCATCAAACACTTCTAGTTTGTGTCGAGGCTTCACTGGTTGCTGAATACAGTTTTATTATGTCTTTCCAGTAACATTTCTTAGCTTAATCCCAGCAGAGTGGCCCCGACTGCAAACACTCCAGTTGGTGTTAGCCATGGCTCAGTTGGTAGCTGTCTCACGTCAGAGTGGAAACATATTGTGGGTTTAACCCCGCTTCATTACTTGAGCAAAATCCAACGTTGACACATGAGAGTAGTACTGAAGGAATGCCACACTGTTACAGAGTTTCATCGAATTGAGGCTCTCTCAGAAAAGCATAAAAGATACAATGGCACTATAAAGAAGTGGGTGAGTTAACCTCAGCGTTCTGGCCTACTGTTATCCTTTGACCAACAACACAAAAATAGATTTATTTTACTTATTACATTGTTTTATGTGATTGTTGGCTGCTAAGTTGTCTGTCATGTTTTCAACAAGTGTTTACTTGATTTGTACAGTGTTTTGGGACAAGTAAAGATCATGAAAGACATTAAATAAATGATAGTCTTTCTTTGATTCTGTTTATTACACCAACCATCCTTGTGGTTTCTATGCAAGACTACCTGTTTGATGTCAATAAATGATTAACTACAATTAATTTATATTTTGGCTTTGTGCCTATGAATCAGTTTCACAACTGCCAACATTTTTTTTTACTGAGAAACCTGGCAACGAGGAAAGAAAAATAAATTTGCCCATCATTAGTGTTGGTTAGATTGCAGCCCATACTTACCAGGTGAAATCACACTGTGCTAATCCACTGTGCCATGCAATATATTGCACTGATGCCTGAAATATTTGCTTACAGCAAGTTTCTAACCAGGGTGGCTATTTCTTGGTCGCTCCTTCCCACACTAAAATTGACTAATTTTCTACTGACTTCCTCAAAACCTATTACTTTCAGATTGAAAATTGATTTGCTGCACCCTCAGGAAAAGTTGTGAAATTACCCGAGGATATCAGCATATGATTGCTGTGTTCATACTTTCATTCACATATGCGGCTTCTCTTTCTATCCTCACTTACAGCTCCACAGAGATCACATTAGGTTCAAATTTGTACTATCCTGTTAGGTTCAATCAAGATCATACAGGTTGAGCCCTAGGGTTAATGCTCATGGCTGCCCAGGTTGTTTTATTTGATGGACAGTGTTAATTCATAGGCATAGTGTCTACACTTGGTGTTCCTTTCCTGCAGGGAAGGATGGAGAATATTCCTAGAGATGTTTATTCTATCTTTATGCAAAGCAATCTGAGGAGTACAAGAATCTAATTCATCAGGCATCACAAATAACTTCTTGTATTGATGATTCCAGATATATATGGCCATGTGTCATATTTTTAGTTGTCTTTGGCCCCTGCATTCCTTGAAACTCAGGTACCTCTGTTTAATTTATATATTTAGTGCTTTATCATGGTGGAATTGTACACCCCCAGAGGAGGTGTTCATAATTTCGGAATGGTCCTGGAATCTTCAGTACTTAAATAATTATTTTCAGGCCACTGCTGCTAGCAGAAAAATCAATGGGGCATGAAATGGTTCTTTTTTCCTTCCAGTTTTCTTTGAGCAATTTAGTTTAATGATATTGGAGATGGATAAAAGTCAGTTTGACTGGGAAGGTTTGAGACAAGGGGCCATATGGTCCAGGAATATATCCAACCAGAATTGGCAGTCCTGGTGTGAAGGATTGGAAAATGCATTGCTTTTAGTGCAGCTGCTGCATTTTTCAATTAATCCCAAACCGAATCCTGTTGCAGTACATTCACATTAGAGACCTAACATTAGAGAGAGTGTAATTCCAAAACCTATTTGCACTGATGTTTGAAAGTATCTCAGACTTGAAAGCCCACATTGAATCCAAAGTGAAGATATTGATTCCTTCACTTTGAGTGTCAGCATGAATTCTGAAACCAGATTCAGGCTGCATCTATGCTGTGAGTCTGAAAATGTGACAAAATGGTTTGTGCCTTGCTTCCCTCTCACAGCAGAAGGAAGGTAACCCTACGTGGATCCACTCTTGAGCAGCTGACTATATGGTCAGACCATGTTGTCAAAATTTCTTCACAATGCCAAAGTATATATTTTTTAAAGAAAGAAAATTTAAAAACTGAGAAATTGAAATCCTTTTGTTGTACCTGTGTTTTGACTCAAAGTGCAATGCTATAGGATTTCATTTCTCTGAATCGTGGAGAGAAAAAACATTTCTCATACATTCTTGTAGGACAGGTCAGTGTCATTTACAGCTCCCATTATGGTATCCGTCAACTATAAGTCTGCATTGTCAGTAAGAATATTTCCTTTTGTTCATTTACGTTATATCAAGGAACTTGGAAATGCACTGCACTCACAGAGATGAGTTGCCATCAAATCATTCTTCCTTTGCATGCAGTGTTTTTAAAAAACTAATTACTGGTCACTAAATAAGAGGCAAATGGTGCGGAAAACCTCCTGAAAGTGCACATGTTGTTAAGATTTTGTTTTCAGTGGGGTACCAGCTCCATTTTCCAATTACCTTTAATATCTGTTGTAGGGTAAGGTTTTTCATATTCAGGACAGCTGCATTGCACAAATGTAACATCATTGTTTGGTAAAATTTGCATGATCGTATGTGTTTATCTGCACACAGAAACAGGCATGTCAGAAAACAGGCATGTCATACTTTGAACTGAGCCCAGGGATTGTTAAAATAATTAGTTAATTGTTTGAAAAGGAACATGGGAACAGGAATACACCACTTAATAATATCCTGTATTTAAATAGCATGATGAACTGCTGCAAGGTGCTCTTCATAACACAATATGGCACTGAACCACTTAAGAAGATATAAGGTCAGGTAACCAGAACACTGTCAAAGGGATAGGTCCAAAGGACCTACCTTAAAGGGAAAAAAATGAGGCAGAGATGGAATTCCAGAATTTAGTGTCAAGGCAGTTAAAGACACACACTTCAGTGACGGGGCAATTAAATTGTGCATGCGAAAGAGGCCGAGTTAGCTCAGCACAGATATTTAAAAGGGTTGTGGGGCTTAGAAGAGATTCCTGAGATAGTGAGAGCTGGGACCACATAAGGATTTGAGAACAAGGATGAGGATTTTAAGATTAATTTAGTTAGCTCCTTGCAATCCATCTACCTAACTTCTATCTCGAAACCATAATACCTACCCATGGTTTAACAAATATGTCAGTCTCGGTTTTCACACTTTCAATTGACCTACAGCCTCAATAGCTTTTTGGGGATGAGTTGCAGAATTCCACTACCTTTTGTGTGAAATGAATATTAAAGGCTTTGGTGTAGGTGACTGAGCAACAGAATGGAAACAAGCCAAAAGATTCACAGAAAGAGAAATATTACTGCAATTTCATGGACCAAGAGATTTATGTCTGTGTTGAAAGAGTCTTCAGTTGCCTGCATATTTTTAAAGACTGAAATGTCCATTTAGTACACAATTGGTGTGTAAGATGTAATGAGGTGAGTTAGATAGCAAGTGTGCAAACCCAACTTCTCAGCATTTGAACAGAATAAAAATGTTAAATCACCTAAAGTGTTTTTTTCCCTCTCTCTGTCTCAAAAGTATGTAATGAATGCAGATATTTTGTGACATTAATTTGAAAAAAAAAAGTAGTGTTAATAGCGTCAAAATGTAGCATTAATTCACTGAGGGTTAAAGCAGGATCCTCAAAAGCATATGTAACTTGTCACAACCATTTCCCTTACAGTATCATTCCCTCCTGTAAGGAGTGCAGCAGCTATTGGCATCCCATTTGCAGTCTATTCCCAAGTGTCTTATAATCTCTTTCATATTTCTTTATGAAAATTGCTATGAGTGAGTTGCTCCATTTATTTGTGATTGCAGCTTGGCCAAGTCTTTCATGTGGGCTGAGTAGAGGGCTAACTGAATTAATAATCGTAATGGAATTCTTTCGACCTACTGCTTGGATGTATTTGAAATTCTGTTCATAGTTCTTTTTTTAAAATCTTTCAGATATGTTAACTACTGAATTTGTTCCAGTTAAAGGAATGTTTTACCTAGAAATCATGTATTTCATATAACACTTCAAGATTAAGTGATAATTTGAATAATTTGTTATTACCAGACTATACAAATCCCAACATTGTATCATTCCGTTCATCCTCTAGTCCTTTTCCCCACCTCCTATATTCCTGTATGTTATTGAAGTGGAATATCTTTTAATGCAATGTTTTACTTCCAATTAATTTGTTCACTCCTGTCCATAAAAATATCCTCACACGCTTCTAAAAAATTTTATGAGTTTTATAAAATTGTTCCTAATGCAATGTAATGCAGCTAATAGGGAACATTCTGGTATGCCATACTCAACACTGGAATAGGTGGCTGGTTGCACAGAAATCTACTCTGAAGAGAATGTTCTATTCTTA